TTTCATTCTTCCATTTCAAAACTTCACGATCATGTTCCAGCCTCAACTATTGTGCCTTCCTGTGTATTGTATCTGGATTTGGACACACCCCACGCCTGTAAAGGGTTTCGAGGCCCTGAAATAGTAAACTCCAATTTTAATCACGTCTCATGTATGATCATTTTAATCTAGTGTGCCCCTTGTTGTTCTTTATAAATGAGACTTGATTATAGTCTACAACATTCCCCTTGAAACAGTTTTGGTGCAGGTTCTGGTCTTTTTACATTAACTTTATTTTGCCAATAGACATAGTTAATAAAAAAATGAACTTACCATTCGACCTGATCCAAAATCCCTGACAATCAGCCCAATTCGAGTAGATAAAGCTGCAAGCTGTGGACAACGACAGTAGAGTATCATTGATGCTACTGTAAGCCGTACGGATGTAGCCCTCTCTGCCTTCGTTTCTAATACTTCACTACTCGCTGAAAGTTTGTGTTTCTTCTGCGGGGACGATGTGCACAGCATATCCAAGAAGAGATCATTGGTGACAGGGGCCTTGGTTCTCAACTCGTCTTCAAAATTCTTTGAGATTTAATGCCATCACGCTTTTACGCAGTAAACTGTTATTCTTGGAAGAGCAAACAGGCTGCATTTCTAACTCCATCTCTTCAAACAAAAGTTCCTTAAGATGAACTTTGATCGTTTTTGATTGCAAAAGAGCCTTGCAAGCAGCTTTGGGTAGATCCAGAGCGAGATATTTGACTGCATCTGCATACTCATCACTAATTATCTTCTTTTTCTCCAATGGAAACGTGATGGTTACCTTAAAAATAGTCAATTAGTCTCAGAGAGGCATTTTTTTCCTGTGGTCATTGGGGATTGGGAATTAGAAGCAAAACACTATGGAAAGCAACCCTCCAAGGGCGTGGCTACCCATATGCACATGCATATGTCACAAATGTCAGGGATTATTATTTTTTTACAGTATTTAATTGAAATAGCTCCTTATTGAGAAATTTAATAACGGCCTGCGAAACCTCTGATATCAAAAAGACGAGGATAATCGATATTAAATTTAGATTTTAACCTTAAAGGTGACCACTAAGTTTCAATTTAGCCCCGAAGGAGATCACACTAAAACAAATTTGCAATTGAAAGCAATAGAGGATTTCACGTGCACTATCGATGTTGACATTCAATGCTTTCTTACAAAATTACCATATTACTGCTATAATACTACTGTTTAGTTTGCCCTGCTTATTTTGCTGTACGGCTATTTTGCCATAACTGGTAGGTTTTTGTTGCAATTTGTGATAAAAGCATTGTAAAGCTGTTTGTTTCATTTCATTTTAGAGTATGATGGGTATTGTCGAGTGTAAACGAATGTTTTGGTTA